ATGTATTCGAACACTTTGTGTAATAGTTAGAAATTTTCTGTAAAGATGGTACAATTAAATATACGAATTTGGGGCTAAAATCGGCATTGTAACAGTGTCTTGATAATTATTCAGATTTTAATCATTTTCTTGTAATAATGAAGCAGATTGCACTGAAGATGATTGTTGTACTGATATAAACAAAAATACAGACCCCAAATAAATTAAGAAAGTTCAAAGTAACATTTTTTCGTAGATCTATCGTCACTGCTTTACAGTCTTGTCTGACCGTTATTGGCTAGTTCTACTTATTTTGTTTCCTCTTGCTTGATATCTGTTCCAAAATAATTTATAAATACCGACAACTACAAAGCACTTAGAATAATGGAATATAGTTGACAGCGGTGAATTATCAGTGTTCCTTACAAATCCAAAAAGTTAATGACAGACGTATATATTGACATATTCGAAAAAACGTGAGCCTGAATAATTTTTAAATTCCATTTCTCCCACAAACGAAGCTTGAGATAAAAGAATTTATTCAAAAATTCCGTTTTTATTTTTGTACGAGGCATCAGGTCACGCAATACTGTACTACCCTTACCATCGCGACCGTAGATATAAAAAGAGTGAATGGTCACAAAGCAATCCCCCAAAAAAAGGTAACTGCCTAATAAATTAAATTTCACTCCCCTCTACAAATTATTCCACGATTCACTTGTGAAGAAAAAACCAATCTGGAGCATCGATTCACGTTTCCGCGAAGCATACACACCGTCACAGAAATCCATCGAACTGGAATCATTAAATCGGGGTTTAGATAATCGAGCCGACGAACAACCGTAGAAATCAATTTCGCAGGAGACAAGAGAAATCCCAATTCGTGGAACGCGTACACCATAGGGGTCGTTCCTCTGTGTCAGAATGTCCGATTCTATCCGCGGCGACAAACAATGGAAATTATTCGGGACCATCACAGGGGGAGTTCAATTTTTTCGGTATGGCAAAATCCAAGCGCGATGCTATATTCCTGACAGCCGATCCGTTAATGTGCTTGCTACGGCCGGCAGAATTCAGGTACCGTGTTCTTCACGCCTTCGTAATTATCATTTCATGCAATTCAATGAAAAAATATTCCTATGCACACTTCACATTTATTCACAAGAAAAATATTATACGAAGTCGACTTGTATATGGGTCATTCTACGCCAAGCGGATCACTTTTGTACACGATGTATGGGATTGTGGTCAAATTGAAATATGTTATACATGCATACTTTATGTAAAAATAGGGAGGGGTTAAGTCATCATTCTGCTGGTTTCGAGATTGTTTACAAAATGCTGACCCTAAAAGTTGGTAATTTTCGCCGATTTTTACGAAAACTACCATCACATTAAAGCTAAGATGTTGCAGAATCAGGGAAAAGTATAGGAAAAGTATCACAAAGAAGTTTTAACCTTGAAAATGTAGGTCAAACATGATATGTTCGAACAAAATTGAGGTTTTTCCGTTATAATGTGTGGTTGAATTTTGTCCTTGAATTGCTATACATAACTTCCTATGGTTTTTGACACTCTGACTTAAAATTTATTCTATAATTTGTCTATGTTTTCAAAATTGTAAGAAAAAAGCAATTCAAGTGAAAAAAGTCGATAAAAATCCTGATTGTTTTACTTTACATATTTTGATAACACTGTATGGTGCTATTTTCGTAAAAATTGGTGAAAATTACCACCTTTGAGGATCTGCATTTTTTAAACAATCTCGAAACCAAAAAAATTATGACTTAACCCTTCCCTATTTTTACATGAAGTATAACATATTTCAATTTGATCAAAATTCCAGATATCGTGTACAAAATTGATCCACTTGGAGTGGAATGACCCATACTCGTACTTCGACCACAGCGAGCATTCTAGGAACCATTTGCGTGGGTGTAGCCTGATTGTTAGTAGGGGATTGGGAGATCAAAATTCATCTGAAAATAAATGTCCTAATAAATATTATTTTTCTCTTTTGTGGGGGTTGATCCACTTTTTTCCTCTCCAAGGTAGGGCGAAGGCTATTTCTTTCCCCCTGGTTACGCTCATGATCACTTGTATACTTGTCGTCCGTACCGAAAAGGTTAACAAACTTGGGTTGCAACACGACCCACGGATTACGAATCCGGCTGTATCGATTTCCTATTAGCATCCGGTAAACCGACAACGTTACTGGCCGAGGAGTGGAAGGTGGCAGTCGTAGACTGCAACGCGGATGAGCCGTGACAGTTCTACAGAGTGTTTCTAAGCTAATGATACAACTCGACTGGAGGTGATTCTGTATGTATAAATAAGTCGAAAATGTAGAATAAAATTTCTTTCCATGCTGCTTTGTTTTCGAGGCAATTAAATTTCAAAAACTGCTGGTTGCGTGCAGTTGGATGGGATTTAGCTGACGCGTCTGATTATTACATTCCGTTACCTACTCTACCGCAAGAATGGGAAAATTCATTATCTAGATTGAAATAACGAATGAAGGATGAAAAAAAAGTATTTCGCTATTTCTTACTGAGGAAACGTGGAAATTCTAATTTTTATAATACAATAATAGTTCTTCATAAATAAGTAGACACTTGACAAATAATTACTTGACTTCATTAACTGTTTAAATATGGGTGAGACCTACACTGCAAAGAGGCTAGATTATTTATTTGTGACAACAAGTAGAAACGGACTGTAATGAACAGACACGTTAGTAGAGTCCTATTCAATTCCATGAGTACAAAAAAAATTCTTAAATTCGGTACAAATTTTCACAGCGTACGAAAAAAAATTATTGTACATTTTCCACTTATTTTTGCATATAGAATATCACCCAACACGGTTGTAGCATCAACTGTCTTGGGACATTCTGTACAAGTGTATGTATACGTGTAGGGTAAGTCGTAAGCCAGGATGATATCGGGCGGTGTTGCATTAACCTTAATTACGTTCGAGCATTAATGCACGTATGAAGAGGCTACTAACCACTCTGACCTGCTGATGCTGGACATATTTATATATCGGCGTCGTGTGTCAGTGCAGATTGAACGCTAGGCGAAGCCGGAAAACCACAGAGAAGCGTGCGTGCAGGACCGAGGAAGCTGACCGGAACTAGGCGAACCTTCGACGGTTCAAGGGCAACTACTTGCATTGCGAATATATCTCTAGTGGGCGGGCAAAAGAGTATAAGTCAAAATGATTGGTTTTACAAAGAAGCACTTGTAATATTAAATATTATATAAGTGCTTCTCTGCAAAATTAATAATTCTGATTAATACTCTTCTGCCCATTCACCAGAGATATAACGTAGTATATCAGATATTCGATTCGACTTTTGATTCGTGTTTGCTGGAGTCTATTAGGTGTGCTAGTGAATAATACATCCTTTGCGTACGAGAAACTCGAATGGATTTTGTACGTTTTCAGCACACAGAATTGATTAAACTTTAATACAGTGAAATGTTTAATTAAGTGCAGCGAGGGTTCTATTTCATTTGGACCCTGATAGCACTCTTTATGGGAGAAATAAATTTTTGTCTGCTTTCGGATTTCTGTAAATGCACCCTATAATTAATGAACTCTAGGGTCAAATTTTCCATCAATGTTATTCTAAACAGTTATCGAAACGAAAAGGTAATCTTCGCTAATCCCTATGCACTATTCAAGCAATTGCAACATGTTAACTCTGTAAATTAATTTGGACTGATATTTAAATCGAATGAAATGAATCGATTTATCTCTAACTAGATTGCAATAGTCACATAAATTATCGATAATACAATTAATTTCTAAATGCTTACCAAGAAAGAACACAATTAAAATTTAAGAATTGATTAACTGAGAAAGAAACTTGAACAGTATAGAAGTATAAAAAAGGCAAACCCTTTAAACTGATGATTAAATTGATGAAAGAATTTTAAAGAATTTTAAAACACACAAACAAGAATTTCAATACTAAAATAAAGCTGTTGAAACGTGACATGAAAATAACATGAGAATTTCCTTTTCGTAGCAGAGTAATTAACATTTGTCAATAACAAAAATAAATCTCAGTGTTCATTGCGTGCGTAATTATTAAAATCATTTCAATTTCACCGCTTCGCTTAAACATTCAAACAAGTGATTTCATTCTATGTACTTGTCCTTTAACAGCAAAAAATTATTAGCTCCACTTTTATTCTCTAAAGAGTAATCAACCTACAAAGTGCACAGCAAACAAAGTCGAATCGGAACATACAGGGTGTCCAAAGTAAGTATCGCAACGAAATTTTAAAAAGTTCTGTTTAAGATCACAAAAAACTGTGTTGAACAAGGGTGAATTATATTTAAGTGTGCATAACTTTCATGAATCAGAGTTTTGTATCTGCATTTTTGGGGGAAATGAATGTTACCTATTGTTTTTTGAACGAAACTATAGTATTTTAAAAATATTTTTCATTTAAACGGATCGTGACAATGACTGCAAATATATTACACAAAAAAAGCACAAATAATGTAAAAAAAATTAACAGAATTTCTGGAATGTGTAGTATATCAAGGTACAAAAGTATCGCGACGTTACACAATTTCTACATACTATTTATACATTGTTTGTGTCTTTTTGGTAACATATTTATAATCGTCAGCTTTCTCATAATTCGTTTTAATGCAAAATATTTCACAAATGCTGTAGTTTCATTCAAAAACTAAAAGATTGCATTTATATCCCCGAAAAAATGCAGATAAAACATTCACGAAAGTTGTGCACACTTAAATGTAGTTCAACTTTGGTTTAACAGAATTTTTTGTAAAATTCAAGCAAAGTTCTGAAATTTTGTGGCGACACTTACGTGGGACACCCTGTATAACGCAGAAACCATCGAAACCAGTCCGTTCGAATCGAGACCGTTTAGCCTAACTCGTTCGAAGGCAATGCAAGTGATAGCCCGTATGGATCAGTTCACCGTGGAACAGGTTCCGCGAAGAGGAAACAATGATCCCCGATACGTGGTACTCACCGTCGTTGTTTGTCCGTGCGCGGGGCGGCGACGAGCTGGCCGTTGGGAAATTTCGGGAGACGTTATCCCTCGGTTGCGGTTGCGGCCCTTCCAGGTTCGGACTCGGGCTGAATTCCGCCCGAAAATCTGCCCTGTCGAAACCCTCCTCAGACTCGTGCATCAGGTCGATCTCGTCCGGCTCAACTTCGCCCTCGTATTTTTCCCTTAACACCGTCCTGAGCACTGAAAACGCAAAACAACACATTCCATTGTCAATAGGTCTAAGAAATGAAGGATCTTTTACTCTAGGACGACACCCTTCCATTTTTTGGCGTCAATAACAAACACTGTTCTATCGATCATATTCGTTAATATCGCGGGCGACCCAATATAAAATCTTAATATTTAGAATATTACTTAATATTTTCGAACTATTTTTTTTTAATTTCTCATTAAATACCGTAGGAAATAATAATATCTGTACAATGTGAATTCAAGAATGAATAAAGGAAAGGTAATGAAAAGCTGTATTTCCTAATGTTTATTTTCACGTCTGTAGGATAGATTCAAATTTTATGGGGTCGCCGGTAAGGTCCAGGGTTAAATTAATAAGTGTACGAACGACGTATTTTAAAACAGTCATCTATGAAGAGGTCTTTTCTGTAGTGGAAGATAATGAAATAAATTAAACAGGCATATAAACGTTAAATATGGTTAAGTTGTGGATATTTATGTAAATTAATACTTTTATGGCCTGTATTACAAGAGCGGAATGAATGATTGAATAATGAGAATAATTGAAATGTGTTCTACTTGTCAGATTGAACTTCTATTTTTAGATTTTATCGAGGCCAAGTAATTATCAATTTTCAAACTGTTATTTGAATTCATTGGTTCTGGGATACGTTGTGTTTCAAATATGAACCTACAGTCTTGTACACAGTTGTTTACGCTTGAATACCAATAGCAGACTACATATTTCAGTCACGTTCTTCATTCAATATTTAAGCTATCTGGGCTACCCGAATTTTGGTAGTTACGGACCGGCGTTGATATTGCTGATTACTGTTATTAATTTTATCATTGTTATTATTATGCTGGACTGCTGAAAGGTCATAGTTAAGACAACAATGACATAGCATTTAGATAACAATAGCATAGACTATCTGTTTTATACACGTTTTTCGTTCAACAAATATACGCTGTCTGGGTTACCCCAATTTTAATAATTACAGACGAAATTTTATATTGCTAATCATTGTTATTACTTTCATTATTATTATTATTGCTACAGTTTAGAGAGATTCTACTTAATGCTGAAATCTAAAACAGAATCTTTAGTACCGAGTGAAAAGTCTGGTGGTCTGAAGCTGGTTCAATGTTGTTCGCACGATAAGATCCCTCATTCTACATTCTGACAGTGGCCGATTTATTTCCAGTCGCGTATGCTCGGTTGCGGTGTACCAGCCGGGGTATCGATGCCTAGTATCGTGTATGCAATCGCATTTCACGCGGATAAGCACGTAGACACCAAATCAAGGTCTCGCATTGACGCGTTGCGCAACGTGTCTCGAATAACTGACAAACGAATATTTCTGGTGAAACGAGCTACCATTGATCAAACAGATCCGTTGATATTTCGTCACAATCCATTAGAAAGAAAATTAACTAACGTGTCTTTCAATCCCTGTTATTAAACGAAAAAGTATTCAAATTAATTGAGGGATAATTGCATTATAATTATTCTACCTATTAACCTCAACCTTATTAAGGCCAACCTGTATAATTCACTTTCCTAAACTAGATAAACCGAATATTCGATATTGATAGATAATTGTTCATCTGCATAACCGATAAATAATTCTTTTCAACAATCTAAATAAGTGAATATGTTCACTTTATGTTGACTGCAGGTAACAAATTCGACCGCCATTGTATTTTTGTGGCGTTACATAAGTCTAGAAGTACTTCAAGTTTCGGAATGCATCGAATTTGTCTTTGTGCATCTAGACAGCATACTTTCTGCGACGTGTCAACGAAGTTATCGCTTTGAAATGCAAAAGTACGTGGAGCTAAATCCACGGGGAGGCAATTCGGGCGCGTTTTACATCAAACGAAAATATGTCTTCGTGATCCAACGTAAAGAAACAACTCCACTAAACCGCCACGGAACGCACGTCGCGCCCTTAAAAATACCGCGCTTGTGTTCTCAGGAAATTACGTCCTTGTCTTTCGTAAATAACGCTTACATTTTTTGGGACAGTGCACGGTGGCGCGTGTTTGATATTTGCGTTCGCTGGAATCCCCTTTGCTATATTAAAATCCTCGGAGAAAAAAAGGAATCGCGATGGTTGCAATTGTAAATTTTACGTCGGAAAAAAATGTAATGGGATCGTCCTTTGTAAAAGCTTTTGCTTTTTTATGTTTTGTTTTCAGTGAAAATATTTGATATATTCCTGGTCACAATGCCTGTATAAATAAAAATGTTGCATATTTAATCAATACAATGAATCAACACAGAAAATATTGTATTAAAAATATGTGACAGTTTTCATTTCGTTCTCAATTTTTCAAAATGTTGTATGAAGGAAATATTAGATGTACCAATAAGTAATTCAATATCGTTTCAATACAGTGACAATAGAATTTGAGTTCTGAATATCATTCTGATCTTCTGTTTAGTGAAAAAGGCGGACGATGTTGGAAATAAATCTTGAATAATTTTAAGGCAGCAGTGGGATCTGAATTATTGTGGGGCAGGTATAGGATTTTACAAGAAATAATGGAGTATTTATTGGAACTAATATAATACTAAACCAATACTTGTGTGTAATTGCTATTTTTAAAACAAACCTGAAAATGTCTATATTTACACAAAGATCCACAGTCTAAATGAATGTATCCTAATTGTTTATGAAATTTAGAGGTATTTGGATTTTCTAATTGAAAAGTTTCGATAGACAGTTGACCTTTTTGTTTAATAAGTCAGTTCTTAGTTGAATTTTAGTTGATCAACAATTGATACATAAGTACGCTTTAAGTGGTTACATACAGGAACTTTGTCAAGTAAAATTTAAATATTCGTCTCAAGAGCAAATAAGTCCACTTTGAATTGCCAGTTAAACTGGCCCACATTCCAGAATCTGGTTAAACTTAAAATTACAATAAAAGTCATCTTTTCACGGGAACGAAACACATCGTCGAAATTTTGTACTCCATGTAAAGCAGGAACCTTTATCCACTGAGAGGGCCGTTTAAGCTTTTATTACGCCATCATACTGCACCGAAAGATAAAGTAACTCTTTCGGTACTCCACCCTAAGAGGGATTTATGGAAATCACTTTTTTTTAAGGCAGACATCAATCTGACCAGAGCAGATAAAAAGTTTGTATAAAATCTGAACTCAAGAATAAACGTGAATTCCTCTGAAACGACGTTCTTATGCGAAAGAATCTGAAAAAAATATTGATACAAAGTGCATTGTAATGCTAATCTATCACTTGCTTTTGCAACTGATAAAAAATATTTAACTGTCGTCTATATAAAAGTTGGAAGAAGCGTAGCATAGTAATTTTCGAGTAAATTATTATGAAATCGTCATTTCGGGTAAATTACTAGGAAATCCTAATTTTCAGGTAAATTGTTACGAAATCGTAATATTACGCGAATCGTAGATCACTACATTGAAACTTCATATATCCCATCACTATTTATTCCACATTAATAAAATTTAAGTTCAATAAAATTGAAAGACTTAACTAAGCTCTGTGTTTCTACCCTACTAAACTGTGCTATTGAAACAATTCGAATATACCATATATCCTATCGCCTCCATTAAATAAACAAGCTCGAAACATCAAAACCGTGGTGGACAAATTTAACACGCAAGACTTCCATAAAAATCCTGGTGTTCCAATGGCGCGACGATAATTTCGACCGAACGCCTGACCAAATCTGTAGTCCAGCAACCGAGCATAAATTCCGGACATGAGCACGGTTTAAATCGCAGAAAAATCAATTTGGCCATCTACGAGCGGACTAATGAAATAAATTCGGCGCGGTTCGAGCGAACACGAGGTGTTTCCGTTGGAAAATTGCGAGGACACCGATCGCGAAATTACGAGGCGACGAAACCGCCGTACTTCCAAGAGGCAACGGATTAGGGGAGGGTATGTAGGGGATGGGTAGGACGGAAGTAGCAGCCTCGTATAGTTTACTTACCGCGATTAATAATTGCAATTTAACACCAATGTTGCGGTGCTCTGGATAGCACAATGGGTTACGGGGTAGCTTTGGCTCGGACCGCGCGCCGCTATGAGATGCCCTAACCGAACCGGATACATTATAGCACCCCACGTCCAACGGATAATGGAACGGAGAAAATGCGAGGCCGCCGAAGATACACGCCGACCCGACCTAGCGTACTACACGTTCGACACATCGGAAGGTCTACCACCTTGTTTCCCCGTAGGCGTGATATTGAATAAAAGTTCTGTGCATCTTTCCCTTTATAGCGCGAGACGGCAGCGTAATGCATCCCCCTGGCGTAAGCAATTCGATCGGGGAGGAAAAGTGGTCGATTGGAGGCGACTACCTGTACACTTTGTTGGTGGTAGATGGTAATGATACGGCGAGATGTAATCGACGGCAACTATACAGTAAGGTGTTATAGGCGGAAACTATGTATCGAGGTAAATATAATTAACGGTATAGTGAGGTACAATGTTCGAGGATAACGATATAGCGAGGTATAATAAACAGTAACAACGTAAGGAGATACTGTTCCTAGTAACTGTATAGTGAGATGTAGTTTAGAGATCTATAGTTTGTAGTAACTATCGATTGTGGTACAGTCGATGGTAACGGTATAGTCAGGTACAGTTCACGGTAACGATATAATGAAGTAGACAGTAAATATTCGATGAGTGTTCGGGTGCTCTTCAGCACTGATAAGGAGAGATCCCCAGGGGTAACGCTGACTTTTTAATTAGGTTTAGCACGGTGATAGAGTTAAATGTTAATAAATCTAAACTCAAACATATGAGTGATTATCAAACTAAACTGATTTCGTAAATTTTCCGTTTTAAGAACGCCTTCGCATTTTAACGAGATTAAATACCTCAGTAGCCAATTGGTCGTTTCGACACTTTATGCAGGGTAGAAACCAAAAGCTCGATTCCCGATGGATGTATCACAATCACTCACTCGGGATAATATGACAAAGGAAATGAGATGCAGCTGCT